TCAAAGCCCAAGAACTTCTGGGGTGTCCAACCACAGCCAGCCTCAAGAATAGCCAGAAGGACTCCCAGATGTGTGATTCTGGGGGCTGTAGCTCCCGTCCTGGCATGGGCTATGTTGTCATTCCTGGATGCCCTTTGGCATCTCCCTTCTCCCGGGACAGCGAGACAGCCTCACTCTGCGTTTCTTCCCATCACCCAGGTGATCAATGCCATTGAGCAGGACTATCGGCTGCCCCCGCCCCCAGACTGCCCCACCTCCCTCCACCAGCTCATGCTGGACTGTTGGCAGAAGGATCGGAATGCCCGGCCCCGCTTCCCCCAGGTGGTCAGCGCCCTCGACAAGATGATCCGGAACCCTGCCAGCCTCAAAATCGTGACCAGGGAGAATGGCGGGTGAGGACCCCAAAGAAGAGCCCTCCTCCTTCCCCCATCCCCCCCCAGAGCAGAGGTCAGCATTCCCCACCTCCCCCCTGCAGTGCCTCGCACCCTCTCCTGGATCAGCGGCAGCCTCACTACTCAGCTTTTGGCTCTGTGGGCGAGTGGCTTCGAGCCATCAAGATGGGGAGATACGAAGAAAGTTTTGCAGCAGCTGGGTTTGGCTCTTTCGAGCTGGTCAGCCAGATCTCCGCCGAGTAAGTGGAAGGGACCGAAAGCAGAGGGCACCTGGGGCAGCGAACGAGGGGGCCAGAGCCAGGCCCTCAGGTTCAGCAGGGGTCTTTGGGGTTAACCTCCAGGGCCAGTGTCCCCTCCGTGGAGCAGAGCTAAGGACTCCAGAGCGCCCCTAGAGCAACCCCCCAAGTAGTACTACTGGGGCTGCCCGCAGGGGCCTCGGGGATCAGCACACCCCACTCATCTCCTGGAGCCGCCTCAGCCCGGGTCAGCCCTTCCGCTCCCAGTTTGTATCTATCTTTGTGCTTCTATCTACATTCCAGACCCAACTCTCACCCTAACGTGTCAACTCCGCTTCTCTTTTCCCACCCATAAAAGGAGAAGGTTTTGGAGATCCTTCCCGGCCTTAATGTTAAATGGTTTTATGATTCCACGGCCTCCCAAACAACTCTTCTCCCTGGGTTGGCCCCTGGGACTCCTCCTTTCTGCCTTCCCATTTCTCTCCCAAGGCCTCTACTTACCCAGGTTTGAGTAATAGCAATAGAAGTCTGGAGTCAGAGGGACCCTGGCAAGGCCAGTCCCTTGCCCACCTGCCCTGCTGGGCCGGGGTCTCACTTCCCCAACCTGCTACAGCTTCTCCTGTCTCGGGGTCCTATCCAGTCTCACCTCCTTTGTCCCTTATCTCAGACTCCGGGAACCAGGAGCTTCCCCTTCCCCTCCACCCAGTTCTTCCTTTCTCTCTTCCTGGCCTATTTATTCTCACTTCTCCTTTCCCCTCTAAAGCAGTTTGTGCGGCCTTTTCTCCCCTGCCACTTTGGGCTTCTGATGGGCCCTGCCTTGGAGAGACCGAGCTGAGACCCAGCCCCACCACCTACTGCAGCTGCACACAAGGCCACCCCCCCCACCCCCGACCCGCACCTACATAGAAACTGCCCTATAACTAATGACCTATTACCCGTCTGCCCCGCTGGCCTTCCTGATTGGCTGACAATTCCAAAGCTGAGAAAGGGTGGGGGGCCTGGAACTAAGCAAGAAGGGTGCCCCCCCAGCCCTATGGCTCACTTAGTCCTATTATTCCACAGGGATCTGCTCCGAATTGGAGTCACTCTGGCTGGACACCAGAAGAAAATCTTGGCCAGTGTCCAGCATATGAAGTCCCAAGCCAAGCCTGGAGCTCCGGGTGGGACAGGAGGACAAGCCCCTCAGTACTGATCTCCAGGAATTCCTCACCCCAGGGGCATGGCCTCCCCTTTTTCCTGGGGTAAAGTGTGGGGGGGTCTCACAGAGGCCCCCATCCTTAGCCCCACTGGATTGCACTTTGAACCCATAGGTGTGGAGAGTTGGCAATTTGGAGAGACAGGACTTGGGGTTTGTGCTATATCACATCCCATCCCCTCCGGGCGGGAAACCCCAAACCCCAGGGTGAGGGCACCTTTCCCTCAGAACTGGGTGTGACCAGAGGGAAAGGAAGCACCCATAATCTCCCAGCTTCCCCAGAGGGCTCCCCAGGTGCTCCCTCACCTCCATGGGCATGTTCTTGCAGACCAAAGAGAGGGTGACCAGCCTGCCAGCTGGGAGTGGAGCGCTGTCCCAGGAGGCAGGAAGGGGTGTCATGCAATGACACAGTCATTGATCTTTGATGCCCCGACTTGCTGCTGTTGCCACCGAACTCAAATCATTCTTCCTTGTAAATGCCCCTCCCCCATCTGCTGCCTTCATATTGAAGGTTCTTGAGTTTTATTTTTTTGTTCTTGGTCTTCATTCCCTCCCTCCCCTCTTTCTGTTTTGTTTTTCTGCCATCCCAGTCCTTATTTTTTTGTTTTGGAGGGCACCTGTTTCTCCTCTCCTCCTTTGCCCAAGGTTGAAACAGGGACCCTTCGAAGTGTCTTATTTCCAGAGCAGTGCCTTGGTCACACCACAGTCCCAGATGGTTCCCTGCCCCCCAAATCCCCCCAAGCTGTGTCAGTGAGGGAAGTGTGGGGAAGGGGGGCTGTGGTGGAAACCAGAGACAGACGCTGGTGCTTGGAGGGGTCCTTAAATTATATTTAAAAAGAAACTTTTTTTGTATAAATAAAAGAAAATGGGACATGTCCCAGTTCTGGGGGTGATTGCAAGCCAGGATGGACTAGATTTCCAAGGACAGTGGGGTCTGGGTCAGGCAGCGGAGCTGTGGGGGCCTGAGTACTTGGTTCCCAGCTCCCAGCTCAGGGTGTGTTTGAGATGGTGGGGTGGGGGCCTTGGGAGATGAGTCACTGGCAGCTGCTTCTAACCGCTCCAGCTAGCTGTGCCAAGAGCCTGGGGCATCTCCGGGGTGGGGCTGCCCCCTCCCACCCTTGCCTGGTTCCTCTTAGCCCTGGCAGGGGGCTGTGAGGGAGGGAGGCCTTGAGCCCACAGCCCTGCCCTGCAGCCCTCTGAAAGGGAGGGGGCATGGCTGGAGGGGGAGACAGATGTGGGCCAGATGTTGACAGCTGGGGTTGGCTGAGAGGCCACAGGGGAGAGAAGGTACTGGCTGTGGGGTAAGGGAAGAGGTGGGAGTGGCTGAAGGGGCCCCCCACGTGTGTGCTGGATGGCGGATGGCGGGCAGTTGGAGGACAATTCCCTCATTCAGTATGCCGCCCAGGCAGGTTCTCCCAGCCTGGGGAGCAAGGGACCAACTGAGTGTCTGCCCACCCCCATCCCCCACTTGTCCTCCCCACACTGGAAGATGAGGCTGGGGTCTACCCCCACTCCTGCTCTGCTCTGCCTCCTCTCCCAGCAGGACACCAGCAGGCAGGCTCTGGCCAGCCCCACTACCTGAAGCAGCTTTTTTCCACTTCTGCCTCCCATCGCCCCCTGTTGTCATGTTGGGGTCAGTGCAGGTTGGGCCCAGGACAGTGAGCTGGTTCCACCTCCACAGTCCTCTGCCCCTTCTCTCCCTTGGCGATGTATTTTGATTCCCCAAGATGGGGTGGAAGGGATTCTGTCCTGCTTGAGGGAGTGGGTCCACCCAGAGGCCAGCACCCCCAACCCCCTGCCCCTGCCAAACAGACTTCCAGGCTAGATAAGGTAACCTTCCAGGGCTGCTGGGAGAAGGAATAAAGGTTAAGGCTGTAGGGCAGAAATGGAGCCCAGGCAAAGATGAAGTCCAGGTGCAGGAGTGGAGCTGGGGGCAGGCAGCAGCAGGAACCCACGATGCTCCGCTCCGTTCCAGAGGCTGCCCTGCTGCCCCATGTGTGGAGCTCCTCCACCAAGGGAGTGAGAGCCATGCCAGGCAGGGTGGCCAGCCCAGGGCACCCCTTCTTTCCTGGGCCCTTTCCCCATTAGGTTGCTGAAGGGCTGGTCTTCTAGGGTAAGCACAGAGTCACATCTTTGGAGTATCTCAGTCTATCCTGCTCCAACAGACCCAGACCCAGGTTCCAGACTGTCAGGAACCTACACCCCAACCCTCCCCCGGCCTCCCTGTCTCCCCTAGAGCCCAAGCAGGATGGGCCAGCCTGTCTTCCCAGGCTACCTGATGTGAGGACGGAGCCCCCCACCCACAAGGGAGGGGCAGAAAGTAAGTCCCTCAATCTCACCCTGGGCTGGGGGTTGCCCCACTCCTACTTCAAAACTGGCCCCAACCCCATCCTCAGTTCCCAAAGTAACTCCCAGGCCTTTTGGGGGGATGGAGAAATGGGGATGGTGAGCTCCTTCCCTGAGGGTCATTCACTTCACGAAAGAGCCACAACCCCATCCTTAGCCTTCACTCAGGGGTGAGTTTCATCATTAGAAACATAGAGATCATGCCAGGGGGTGGTGCCTGGAGGCGGAGGCAGGAGGACTACAAGTTCCAGGCCAACCTCAGCAATTGAGCAAGGCCCTAAGCAATTTAGCAAGACCCTGTAAAAATTAAAAAGCACTGGGGATTTGGCTTAGTGGTAAAGCACCTCGGAGTTCAATCCCCAGTACCCCCCCCCTTTCCCTGCGAGAGGGCTCCTCAAATGACTTTTTATTCCCTTTAGCAGGGATCTCAGAGGCCTGTCCTCCAAGAAGCAGGGTTCCTGAGTAAAGATGGACTTGTGGCGCCTTTTCTCCTGTACCCCAGGCCACAGGCTTCATTCTACCTATTTCCCTGCCTTCTGCCTTTCCTGTTGATGGTGTCTCCCAGAGCTGAATGGCTATTCCCATGGCTTCTTCTAAGGGACAAGCTGCTTTCCTCCTCAGATCTAGCCACCCTGCCACTCCTCCTGCTGGGGATTGAACCCAGTGCCTCATGCATGCTAAGCTCTCCTAATGGGCCACATCCCAGCCCAGTAGCACCCAGGCCTTGGCCCCCACCACTCTCCCTCCAGTTTCAACTCCAAAGACCCATCTCACAGACCACTGCTTCTGCCATAATCACAGAAATTCAGAACTCAAAAATAATTTTTTTTTTAATGTCCACGTCTGACAACAACTCAGAACCGAGTGGCTCTGAAGGCAGCCTGAGGAACACTGCGGAAAATGGAGAAAACCGGCCTCCAAAGAGGACTCAGCTCTGGAGGTGCAGGTGCTGGCCCCAGAGTGGGCTCTCACCTGTGTCCCCCAACTGGCCTCTGTTCTGGTCCTTCATTTTCTCCCTAGGAGGCAGTGGAGAGCAGGTGTGGCCTACAGTGAGGCCTGTCCTTCCCCACACCCCTGTTGACCTATCCCACCTGGCTCTCCTCACCCCTGCCCAGGACTCACCTCCTCCTCCTCATCCTGTAAACACACTCTCTGATCGCTGCTGACACTATGACCACCGCGGGCACCAGCATACCCAGTAGGATGGCCACAAAGTTGGATGCTTCTGGATACAGGAAGAGAAACAGGAATGTGGGTGGGAAGAAGGCAGTCCTGTTGGTCTGAGGGACCTCATCTCCCTAAATATCTGGGCGTGGCTGGTTCTCCCTCCTGCCCCCAGCCCAGCAGCCCTTTCTGGTTCCAGACAACTCCCAGAAGCCTTGACAGTAGGTCCCCAGAGTCTCAGGTATCATCCCTGCCAGGGTTTCTCAAAACATCCCCAGAAACACTTCCACCAGCCAGGATCTGGCTGCTTGTTACAAAAGCAGATTTCTGGGCCCACTTCAGACCTACTGAACCTAAATCTCTGGGTGTAAGTCCTGGAACATGTTAAACAAGTTACCCGCTCCCAGTCTTGTGTAGAACAAACTTGGGGAGAACCCCAGTGGCACAGTGGAATTTGAGCTTTGGGTAGGAAAAAATAGTAAAAAGTCCAGAAAGGCCTAAAGGGACCCAGATGGGGGAAATAATGGGGTGAGGCAAATCCCATAGGGGAGGGAGGAAATGGAAAGTTAGGGCTTGAAGAGCAGATTCCAGAGCATGGGAATAGGAGGTGGGCACAGGGGCTAGTTGAGGACCCCCTATCTTGCTAATCTCTAGGGATCATTATGCTATAATCCCTATTATACTTGATATATATATATTATTATATATATGCTGTAATAATTTATTACCTATTATATCTATTGATAAATATTATATCTGTAATCTATACCTATAATAGATATGTGTTAATATTATGCATTTAAAACAATTCTATGGGGGCTGTTGGTTGGGCCTGGGGCCTGGGCTCTCCCCTCACCTGGCTTTTTAGGGGGAGGGATGTCCCGCGGCTCCGTGCACAGGGCTCCCCCATAGCCGACCTCACATTCACAGATGAAGCTGGCCCCCTGCTCCAGACACTGACCATCGTTCTGACAGGGGTTCGGAAGACACGGAGTTTCTGCAAGATTGGAGGGCTGTGAGGGGCCAGGTGATTCTCAGTGCAGGGGAGGCAAGGCTGGAGGCTGGACCCAGGAAGGCAGCAGCGCCTCCAGAGCCCGGCGCTAGCCCCAGCCTGGGCTCTGGGGAAATGCTTAACCTTTCTTCATACCCACAAGATGGGTGCGCTGTGCTTGCCATCAGGTGCTGTAGAAAAGGACTAAAGGGACAGGGCTTTGTAGGTAACAGATGCTCAGGGAGGGAGAGGTCCTTTTCCTTTTTTCTTTCTTAAAAAGAGAGGCAGGACTTCCTGACAGCCACGTGGGAACTCTGAGCAGAGGATGGGGCGGGGAGCAACTTGGAGCAGAGAGATCCAGGCTCACCTCGAAAGCAGCCGCGGGTGAAGTTGCCTAGGGTGCAGATCTCCTCGGAGCTGCAGCCGAAGGGCTCACACATCAGGACCCCTGAGCTGGCACAGGTACAGCGCTCAGAGCAATCCTCAGTCACAAAGCTGTCACCCAGCTGGAAAGGAGAAGGGCAGAGTTGGGGTTCTGGTTTCATGCTGGGTCTGGCTCTGTGCACCTTGGCTTCCGTGGGCCACCCGCTGCCAGCCCCAACCTGGTAATAGGCACCGTCTCTGGTGCAGCCGCAGTCAGCTATCGGGAGGCTCTGGGCACCACTATAGGCGTAGCCTGGGAGGTTGGCGCAGCCTTCCACGCAGGGGCCCTCACAGTCCCCAAGGGTCACCAGGTTGGCACAGGACACCGGGCAGGGCATCATGCAGCTCTGATACACGGTATTGGCTGGACATGTCATGGCTGAGGGGACAGAGACATGGCCAAGAGTTGGGGCCAGCCAAAAAGGCATGGGGCTATGGGACAGTGGGGCTGAAGGTGGAAGAGGGGGTGCAAGATGGCTGCCTGGAGGCAGGAAAACCAGAGGAACAGGTACCCCATCTGAGGGGTTCATCTGGAACATGAGCACAGTGAAGGAGCACAACGGATAGAGGCGGGTGCACAGGAGAGGAGGAAGGGGATGCAGTGATGGGAGAAGGAGGCTCCCTGGGGGGTGGGAAAGGGTCAGGTGGAAAAGACAGCTGCTTTCAGCTTGCTGAGAACTGAGGGGCAGAGGAACCAAGACAGGAAGCCCGAGGTGAGGACTGTGGTAGGCGAAGGGTCGGGCAGGGAATGGCTGGCAGAGGAGTCAAGGTCAGCTGCCAGGCAGGGGCAGTGCCTCACCACAGCGGGTGTGGTCCCGCCAGCTGGTTAGGCTGGCGCCCGCCTCTTGACAAGTGATGGCGTACCCGCTGAAAACCTGGCAGCGCAGCTCCTCTTGGTCATTGGGGTCCTGGGCTGTACACAGATCAACCACACAGTGCCTGGAGTCGAGAGGGAGGGGAGAGGGGGCTGTCACAGACAGGGAGGCAAGGACCCCTGCAGAAGAGGGCTTGAAGCCCCTCACAGAAGACATTGGGCAGTGTCAAGGGAGGGTCACCAAGAAGTGAGGCCACAGGGAGAAGGAAGGGAGGCGAGGTCAGACAGCAGGACCCAGTGAAAGGCTGGAGCAGGAACTGAGGCCATGCTTGCAAGTCCTGGGCCCTTGACTCACTCCTGGAAAGGCTCTGGGGCCACAGTCTGGTGACAGGCAGCAAAGGGACCCTCGGGGTCCACCAGTACACTACAGGCCTGGGTGCTATTGATGAGTGCCAGCTGCTCCAAGCTGCAGGCCAACCCTAGGGAGCTGGAATCTGCTTGTTGTCTCTCTTCCTCCTTGCTTATGGCCCTGGAAGGGAGAAGCCAAGGACCAGGTGAGGCCCTGGAAGAAGGTGAACTTGGGGAGGAACAACTGGGGACAGAGGCTAAGGGAAGGGCAGGACCCACTGGGATTTCCATTGAGCAGGTGCCCGCCCCTCAATGTCAGTACGAGGAGAAGTGGTAGAAGGTGAAGTAGTGAGGCCTCTGTCCACTAGAACTGAAAACCAGAATGTGAGGGTAGCAGCCATAGTCAGAACCTGGTCCTCCTGAGCCCCAGCACTCACCTTGGGGAACGTGAGAGGGGCTCATCCGCATTTGCCTCCCAGCTGTTGCCAAAGACATAGAGGTTCTGGGTGAGCCTGCCATCCGGCAGTATGAACTCATTGGTGCGGTTCCCGTCATAGTTCCCACACATGCCACGCACCAGCCCCTGGTACATGCTGGGCAGGGTGATCACTGTGGGAGCAAGAGGGTGCCCTGCAGTGAGCCCCCCATGCTGGCCCCCCACCTCCTCCTGGGTCCCCAACTTGAGCTGGGGGCCCCATTCCCAGGCAAGGCTTCTCTCCTCACGATGAGCCCGTTTATGCAGGGCATTCTCACCCCTACCCCAGAACTGTGCCCTCCGCTCTCTGTCCCCCTCTCTCTGGTACCTGCGTTGATCCTTGCACCACCACCCAAGCTGACGACCAGCTCAAAGTCGGTGATCAGAAAGAGCCGCTGGCCCTGCATGGTGACCTGCAGGTGCTCATTGGGACTGTAGGGGTAGGCCATCTTCTGGTTGTTGACCTGGGGGGGAGGAAAGGTGGACAGGCACTGCGGGGCATGTTGGAGCAAGCTTGCCCTCTGCTGCTCTGGCCTGTGCCTGGCTTTGCCCATATTCTCCCTCTCTCTGTACGTCATTCAGTGGTTCAATCATCCAGGAACCTCCCAGAAGCAGGGTGCCTTCTTCACCAGCTTTAGGTGGTCTCAGCCTGACTCCTACTAACCAGAAGCGTCAGTCCAGCCTGGAACTGGACTTTATAGCCATAGACGAAGGTGATCACTTCATGCAAGAAGATCAGGCCCGGGGCCGAGGAATACACCTTGTTACGTCCCTCCACAACCAGCTTCTCCAGCCCTTCAGGGAGCTTGTCCACTGTCTTTACCAGGATGTAGGTCATGCGACCCTGGAAGAGGTAGCTGAACCTATCAAATGTGCGGTAATGGGGGTCCCCGTAGATGGAGCATTGATCCGATTCTGCCAAGAAAGGCAAACACTGAGAAGGGACCCTACCCAGATATGAGTCCTGGGAATCCCTCCTACCATGGCACCTCCTGTCACCTCTCTCTTGGGCCCTGGGCTCCCTGGATACTTGACCTTCAACTTCTTCCCTCTCTAGCTCCATTGCAACCTTCATCTGGATCTTCTCACCCTCCTCTCTCTTTTTGACCTTAATGTAGGGGGTCCTGAGAGGATCTATAACTTGCCTGTGACCAGAGTTGGCAGAAGCCAGGCCTCCTGATCCTATTGCCCACCCCGTGACTACCGTGCTTGGCACCTTATCCAGGCTAAGTTCCTGCTTGGCCCCTCACTCCTCCTGGGTCCCAGGTGCACCCCTTTCCCCCTTCCCCAGCAGCTCCCTACTGTCAGGGACACAATTGTTGATTCCTTCCTTGTGTTGGCAGTGAGACTGAGCGGGACAGCGGAAGGTCTTGCACCGAATGCTTCCTCCTACGCAGGAACAAGTCTGCGTACAGCCTGTGGAGATCCAGGTCTTGCCTATCTGTAGAAACCACCAGAAAAGAAAAAAAGGGAGGAGGGAAGGGTGAGTTCTCCTCCTCTCACTCCTTCAGTCTAAGCCCACTGTCTCAAGAGCTCACAGTCAGCCTCTGTATCTATGGGTTGGATCCAACCAGACTTGGATAGAAATATTTGAAAAAAAAATTGCATTTGCGCCAAATTTGTCATTATTCCCTAAAGAATATGGCATGACAATATTTACATGACATTAACATTATATATACTAGCTATTACATGTTGTCTAGAGATGATGTAAACTCTACAAGAAAGATGTGCAAATGTTCTATGCAAATACTATGCTATTTTATGGAAGGGACTTGAATGTCCACAGATTTTGGTATCGTTGGGAGTCCTGGATCAATTGTTCTCATGGATATACAGGAACTAATGCATTAACCCTGGGGAGAAGCAGTTACAGTGCCATTTGGATCTTTATGTCCCTATATCTTCCCCAAAGGCATTGTTCTTGTTGTCTTACGTATGCTCTTCAGGACCCATTTTACAGAAGAGAAAACTGAGGCATCAGAGGTCATCTGACTCATCATAGGTCTAAACAGGATTCAAACACAGATCATCCCACACAAAGGCCATGCTCTTTCTGCTATAAACTTCTGTGCCCAGTTGTATGGATTCCTTACCTCCCAAACCCAAACCATATTCCACCTGCCTTCACACTCCGGGGCCAGCCACAGAGACAAGGATGCCCTAGGCTGAGAGGCTGAGGAAAGAAAAAGTACAATCCTCAAGGTTTGTGACCCCCCCACACACTCCCATTTCCTCAGCCCACTCACAGGAATGGTGCCACCCTGGGCGTCCTTGCAGCTACAACTACTTTTGGGCATACAGTTGTCCCCATTCAGCACATAGCCGGACTGACAGAGGCAACCTTCAGCGCAGCTGGAAGGGCCTCTGCTATTCTTGCAGTGGCCATCCGGGTTCAAGCAGGAAGATGGGCAGGAGGGAAGGCAGTTACTGTAGCTGGAATGGGCCGGGCACTCCAGAGCTGTAGGGTGGAAAAGAGACTTGGGTAAGTGGAAGGGACCAGAGGTTGTCTAAGAGGTCAGGGCCTCTAGAAACCAGGCTAGGGGTAATGACCAACAAGGCTTGGGGTTTCTCTCCTTATTCATTCATCAAACATTTACTGAGTGTGGGTTGTATGCCAGGACCTGAGGGGAAAAAAAGTTAGAAGCACTCCTCCAGGCTGTGCAAGGGCCTGGGTTCTATGCCCAGCACCATTAAAGTCAAAGAATGGCTCTCCGGAGTCTGTGTGGGAGACTGAGGTCCCCCGCAATAGCAGCACAACCTTGATGTGCATGGTATGTATGTGACTAGCAGATGTGTACCAGGCATATTGGTGGCATAGAGCAGGGAGGTATCAACTCTGTCAGGGAGCTCAAGAAAGGACTCTAGAAGAAAGTGTGAACAAAGGGAAATGTATACCATGTTCATGGACAGGAAGAGCCAGCAACATGCAGATGTCATTTCTCCCCCAGTGAATTTATAAATTTAATGTGACCCCAATAAAAAAGACCAACCAGGTTGTGTGTGTACGTTTGTGTAGACAAAGTGGTTTTAAAACTGAGATAAAGATACAAGCAAACTGAAAAAAAAAAAAAAGAATAAGCAAACTAGAAAGGCCAGGAAAACTTTTTTTTCTTTGTGTGTGTGTGTGTGTGTGTGTGTGTGTGTGTGTGAGGATCATGGGGATTGAACCCAGGTATGCTTTACTACTGAGTCACATCCCAGTCTTTTTATTTTTTTTAAGACAGGGTCTCACTAAGTTGCTTAGGGCCTCAACACATTGCCTAGGTTGACCTTAAACTTGTGATCTTCCCATCTCTGCCTCCGAGTCCCTAGGATTACAGGAGTGCACCTCTGTGCCCTGTACCAGGACAACTTTTAAATAGCAATGATTAGTGAAGGTCCCTACCCAAAATTAAAACACATTTTAGATTCCCAATGATCACAGCATGTTACTGGTACATGAAGATACAGATGAACCTTTGAAGCAAGAGATAAAATATACAACTGGGCATGATGGTGCACACTGTAATCCCAATGACTTGGGAAACTGATTACAAGTTTAAAGCCAGCCTCAGCAACTTAGTGAGGCCCTAAGCAGCTTAATTAGACCCTGTCTCAACATAAAAAAATAAAAATAAAAAGGGCTGGGGATGTGGCACACCTGTGTTCTATCCCCAGTAGCAAAATTAATGAATAAAATTTAAAAATTTAAAAACCAGATACAGATCCAAGCATATATGAAAATTTAGTATTTGATAAATTGTAGCATCTCAGTTGGCAGGGAAAGCTAGTCTAGTTATTTAATAGTGCAGAAACAACTTGTTAGCCTTCTGGAAAAAATTAAACAAAGTTGCCATATCTCATTCTACATGCCAGGCTAATTCCTCATGGGTCAAAAATTTAAACATAAAAAAGAAACCATAAAAATCCTAGAGCACAGCATGAGCCAAAAAAATTTTTAAAATCTAACTTTGGTGGGGACAGCATCTGTAACAAAGGTCTCAGATACAGAAACCATGAAACAGGGATTAATATTTTTTAGGGTTGGGGATGTAGCTTCATGGTAAAGTGCTCCTCTAGCATGTGCAAGACCCTGGATTCAATCCCTAGCACCACAAGAAAGAAAAAAAAAAAACTTCAATTCCATAAAAATATTTTTTCTTCTGCATGGCAAGAAAAGTAAAAAAGATTTTTTAAAAAGGAACTGGAAAAAAATTTGTGTAACTTGGAGCACTAATAAAGGGCTACCTTCCATAATAGATAAAGGACTTCTCTAAAATAGTTTGATAAAGACCAACAACTTAGTGGGAAAATTGGAATGAACAAGATCAGAGAGCTTATAGGAAGGGAAATTCAATTGGCTCTTAAACATATGAAAGAATGTACAGTCTTGCTCACAATAAGAAAAATGCAAGTTAAGGTTCATTATTTTTCACATATTAGATTGTCAAGAATCCAAAAGGTTGGTGGCACACTGGCTTGGTGAGGATAGAGGGAGTGGAGACAGGCACTCTCGTTTATTGCTTGTGGAAATGTAAATTCTTCAACTCCTTGGGAAGGCCATTGGCAACACCTCTCCAAAGTACAAATGCATACAGTTCTGGTCCCAACAATTCTAGTTCCAGGAATTTTTCTTACACATAGAGTCACATACATAGAACACCATACGTGTGTTATTCCCCGGCAACACTGATTGCAAAAGCAAAATGGTGGGAACAACCAGAAAGTCCCTCAAAGAAGAGCAATTAGATAAATTAGGACAGGGCTGAGGGTGTGGCTCAGTGGTATAGAGCTTGCCGAGCAAGTGTGAGGTACTGGGTTCCATCCCCAGGACTGCAAAAAGAAAATACTATATGATAGTCAGGTGCAGTGGCGTAGACCTGTAATCCAAGTGACTTGTGAGGCTGAGGGAGGATGATTGAAAGTTCGAGACCAGCCTCAGCAATTTAGTAAGACACTGTCTCAAGATAAAAAAAAAAAAAGGACTTGGAATATAGATCAGTAGTAAAGCACCCCTGGGTTCAATCCTCAGTACCAAAAAAAAAAAAAAAAGAAAAAAGAAAACAAGAAGGAAAAAAGAAAAAAGAAATACCTATATAATAATAGACTATTATGCAGCTGCAGAAGGTAATGAGGAAGCTCTTTACATACATGACATGGAAAGATCTCTAGATTATCAAAAATAAAGTACAAATTACTGCAACTAGTATGGTACTATATATAAGACAAAAGGAGAAAATGAGGTATAATAATTTGAATTTGTTTATACAGTAAAAGGTCTTTGGAAAAATACTGAGATGTGAACTGATCCCACAGGGTCAGGGAGTGGTGAGACTTCTCTCTGGGTATCTGTTTTTGTTTGTTCATTTTTGAAACAGGATCTTACTATGTTGTCCAGGCTGGAATCAAAACTCATGGGCTCAAGGGATCCTCCTGCCCGTGTCTCAAGTGCTCGGACTACTGGTATGTACCACCATGCCTAATACTTTAAAGGTGTGTGTGTGTTTGTGTGTGTTGCCTGGAACAGTGGTACACCCTGTAATCCCAGTGATTTGGGAGGTTGAGGTAGGAGGATCACAAGTTCAATGCTAGGCTAATCACTTATTGAGACCCTGTTTCAAAACCAAAAGGGGGGCTGGGGTTGTGGCTCAGCGGTAGAGCACTCGCCTTGCCCATGTGAGACCCTGGGTTCAATCCTCAGCACCACATAAAAATAAATAAGTGAAATAAAGGTACTGTGTCCAACTACAATTAAAAAAAAATAAATATAAAAAACACACAAAAAAAACCAAAAACCAAAAACCAAAAAGGGCTGGGGATGTAGGTCAGTGGTAAAGTGCCCTGGGTTCAATCTCCAGCACCATAAAAACATAAACAAAAAAAAAATATATGGGAGGATGTGTGCAGGTTATACACAAATACTATGCCATTTTATATAAAGGAACTGAAGCATCCTCAGATTTTGGTATTCAGAGGGGTCCTGAAACCAATCCATCTCCTGTGCATACCAGAGAATAACTGTACTTACTAAAAAAAGTAATGAATTGCTGCTTTAAATTTCAGAGGGTTCTTCTTTTAGATAGTGGTGATGGTTGTACAATTTTACAAAGATACTAAAAGAACACTTTAAAAGTGTTGAATATCATGCTATATGAATAAGCTCAGTTATAATTACTGTTTTTACAGAGCTACAGAAGATGCCCAGCCTCCAGAGGGTGAAAAGACAGATCCTTCCAGACACCTGAGTGTGTGAAAAAACAGGCCTGTGTGGGAAGGGAGTTGGAGAGAAGGGAGAGGCCAGGATGGTGGTCTCGGACACCACTGTGCCATGCTTGGACTTAACCCTGCAGCAGGAGAGTAGTCACACTTCCTTTGCTTGGGAAAATGTCATCAGTAAAGGAGCCGAAAAGCAGCTGCTCTGATACGAGGGCCTCTGGTTGGGAGGGGACTGTAACCAGTCCTTGTCAGAGATGACAAGTTCAGAAGTAGGTCAGGAGCAATCAGAGGGAGCATGAGGGAGCTCTAAGGAACAGGAGGGGAGAAACAGGGTGTGGGAGCAGACTAGGGGTGACAGAAGGGGATACTTACGGCAAAAGCTGCTGTTCCTCCAGATGGGGGGCTTGAGCCCCTGGGTCTTGCAGGCGGCCCCAAAGTCCTGGAAAACCAGGCAGAGGGCTCCCGTCAGGATTCCAGAGTCACAGAACTTGTCCCTACAGAGCTGCAGGTAGGGCTGGATGTCCACCCGGGCAGCACACTGGGCCCAGGCAGGGGCCTCAAGGGCTGCTTGGCAATTTCTCTGGGCTGTTTGGAAGTCGACTTGCTTGCAAAGGGCTTTCACTTTGCCCTTGGATTCCTCCTTGTGGCCCTGGCTTTCCGTTCTGTGGCCCTCCTTGTGGCCCTCGCTTTCCGTCCTGTGTTCCTCCTTGTGGCCCTCGCTTTCCGTTTTGGGTTCCTCCTTGTTGCCTTGACTTTCCACTTTGTTCTGAGGTTGCTCTGAGGGCTTCTGGCAACTGGGAAGGGAAAAAAATGGATCAACAGAGGGGCAACCACTACCCTCTCTGTGAAGATGATGATCTGGCACTCCCAATGCACCTGAGAGAGTCTCTGGGACTCCCAAGCCTCCCAGCTTTCTAAGGGAACATTGCTGCATTTCCCCAAATAGGTTCCGGCAGCCTGTGAGACTCAGCAAGTACCCCCCCCTCCAAATCACACACATGAAGGAACATTCTGGTCTCCCTATCGCAGGCTGGCCTTGCAGGGTCTGGTTAAGACCATTTTCTGAAAATGGTCTTAGGGAACAATTACGTTTGCTCAATGCCTTTGTCCGTCCAGCTGTTCATGAACTCAGAGTTGTTCTGGGCAAACTCTTCACTGGGCATCATGTGCTCGTCGTCCACCTCACCATTGAAGTTGCCACACACACCGCACACCTGGGCGGGCAGAGGGCTTTTCAGTGCAGGGGAAGCTTAAGGGGAGTTTTCTCTGGAGCATCCTGCCCAGAAAACCACAGAGAGGTGCAGTGGGCAGCCCTCCTCCTACTGGCCACTGATCTCTCGTGGGGGATGGGGATGTTGCTCCCCCGCTCCCCACCAACAAGGTCAGGCCATACCCTCACCTTGTCATAATAGGCTACAGGGACTTTGACCTCTAAGAACTGGTTGCCATCAAAACGGACTTGTAGTCCATTATCAACATCGACGAGGGTGTTGGTGCCACTAGAAGTGATGCTGACCCCAGGGATCTGGGATGTGGCAGGAAGTGTAATTGTTGCATCATTGATCTGAAGAGGAGGGTGGCACCTGTGAGTGGGAGGAAGGACCAGAGTCCCCTCCCCAGAGCTTGCTCCTCCTTCTGGGTCATATCATCGTGCCCAGCTCACCAGCACTTGGTGTTTCTTTTTCAGGATGATCTTAGAATTGAAGATGTTGATGTAGAGCTCAGGGAAGGAGATGGGACTGGTACTGTCTTGTTGGTTATAACTCTTGGCACTGATCTTGAAGAAAGGTAGGTTCATGTTGGGGTGGCACACTTTGACTAAGACTTGAGTGCAGATGTCCACAATGGCTTTATGGCTAACGCCATCAAAGCTCACAAACTGGGAACCCCCTGAGACCCGGCACACGCCCACATCTGGAGGGAAAGAGAGGTGGTTGAGACATCACCCCATCTCTGATAAGAACACTGTCCCAAGGGAAATGATCCTGTACTCTTCCTGCCTGGGAAGGCCAGGGAGCCCCAAGAAGGAAGGAGGACTTTGTTCAAGAAAAAAATCAAGGCCCAAGGCCCCAGACTGGTATGACTCTTTGAGGTAGAGGGGAGTGTAATTCTACCAGGAAGGGACTTATTATATGTAACCCAAGTTCACGGCTGCTGCAGGAGAACATAGTTGCTTTGTTAGAATGTTTGTTCCCCAGAATTCATGCATTGGAAACTTAACTTCCAAAGTCATATGCTAGTGGTATTTGGAGGTGGTGCTTGATGCTACCCTGAGATGCTGCAGAGTCCCCACCAGCAAGAAGGCCCTCTCCAGATGCAGCCCTTCAAATTTGGACTTCCCAGCCTCCAAAATAAGAAGTGCATTTCCTGGGTGGGGTGTAGCTCAGTGGTAGAGCTCTTGGTTAGCATGGGCAAGACCCTGCATTCCATCCCCAGCACCAAAAGAAGGGAAGGCAGGAAATAAGACATTTCTTTTCTTTATAAATTATCTAGACTCCTGCATTCTGACATAATAGAAAATGGGTAACAGGTTACCTGTTTTCTGTTGCTATATCAGAATGCAGGGAACTGAAGCCCGAGATGCCCTTCTAGGCAGTGGGAAGACCATCTATCCTCAGAAGAGCCAAGAACTATTTGGTAGAGTTGAGCTGTGAATGTGAACCTGAATGCTACAGGGGCAGGTAGGGAGAATGTGGAGGGAGTGGGGGAACTGCTCTAGGTATCATGCTGGCCCTCCTACCTGAGGCCCTGCAGCGAAACAGCCCATCCAGGGCCCTGCAGGTCTGCTGGGACTTGCAGGTGGTCTTCTGGCAGGTAATGTTGTTTTGGATGGAGCAGGTGCAGAGGGTGGTGCAGGTGTTCTCCAGGTACCAGCTCTCCCCCAACTGTGGGGCATGGGGGTTGGCACAGCCAGCAGAAATCTGGAAGCTGGAGATAGGGGAGTGCACCCCACCCCTGGGACACTTTCTGCCTTTGCTTGCCACCTGTCCTGAGCTTTTTCTGGGCCACCCCACCCTCTGCTTTGTGGAAACAGGCAGGATTGGCCTCTCACCGTGTGGTAGAAGCCCTTTGAGTCAGTGCAGCCACACAGGCTGAGAGGCACACAGGACGTCCCACTCAGGATGAAGTCTCCGTGGCACTCACAACCCTCCACACAGGGCATAGAAGGGCACTTCATGGGGATCCTCAGGCTAAGGCAGGTGGCTGGGCAGGGGCTGGTACAGTAGTTATAGTGACTGCCAGAAGGACACCGCATAGCTACGAAGGACATGAGTGTTAGGAAAAGAGTGGCATTTACAGCTTCCAGCCTTGGAGCACTGGGAGTCCCTGGGACTATCTGTTGACAGATACACAGACCCACAAGCCAAGTGGCCTATCCACAGGAGAGAAATAAGCCAGGTACCAAGACACCCACTGCATGATTCCTTCGATGTGGAGATCCTAAAGGAGCTCAATTCATAGAGACAGGAAGCCGAATTGTGGTTGCCAGGGGCAAGAAAAGAATGGGCAGCTGTTTAGTGTGGTCTGAATTTCAGCTGGGGAGAACCAGCTCTGGAAATGGCTGCCCACCAGCATGAATGTTCTGCATTACACACTTCAAAAGTGTTACAATGAGGCTGAGGGTGTGGCTCAGTGGTAGAGTGCCAGCCCAGCGTGCAACAGGCCCTGGGTTCCATTCTCAGCAACACAAAAGAAAAAACAAAAAAGGCCAAAATAGTAAATTTTATGTTATGTACATTTTCTCACAATTTTTTTTTGGAGGGGTGGGGGTACCAGAGATTGAACTCAGGGGCACTCAACCACTGAGCCCCATCCCCAGCCCTATTTTGTATTTTATTTAGAGACAGGGTCTCATTGAGTTGCTCAGCAACTTTTCTTTTGCTGAGGACTGGCTTTGAACTTGAGATCCTCCTGCCTCAGCCTCCAGAGCTACTGGGATTTCAGGCCTGCACACCACATGTATGGCTGGCTTCAATTTTTTTTTTTTTTTAAGAACTTTTCTGAAAGAAAGAAAGAAAGAAAGAAAGAAAGGGAACAGAGCTTGTAATCCCAGCTACTGGGAAGGCTGAGGCAGGAAGATCACAAGTTCAAGGCCAGCCTGGGCAATTCAGTGAGACCCTGTTTCAAAATAAAATGAAAAAGGCTGGGGGTGTAGCTGAGTGGTAGAGAACTCACCTAGCCTGTAGGAAGCCCTGAATTCAATCCCCAGTACCATAAGAAGGGAGAAAGAAGGGGGGGAAAGAAAAGAAAGGGAAGAGCCCAGGGAAAAAGGAAGGAGGCTGTTTCCACTGGATAATTTCTTTTTTTCTTTCTTTCTTTTTTTTTGGTACCAAGGATTGAACCCAGGGGTGCTTAACCACTGAGCCACATCCCCAGCTCTTTTTTTTACATTTTTATTTAGAAACAGGGTTTCACTAAGTTGCTTAGGGCCTCATTAAGTTGCTGAGGCTGGCTTTGAATTTGGTGTTCCTCCTGCCTCAAGCCTCTAGAGCCACTGGGATTACAGGTGTGTGCCACCACACTTGGCAAGGCAGAAATTTTTCATGAGAAGAGAGTCAGATGCAGGAGGCTCCGGTGCTGGGCTGGAGAGGTGGAGTGGACCACAGAGGAAGGCTCCAGGTGGGCGGGAGTGCTCTTTGCAGGTCAAAAGGCAGAGTGTGGGGGAGAGGGAGATCAGGGTGTGGGGGCTGTGGGAGCAGGTGGTAAGGTCACTCACGGCAGAAACTGCTGTTGCGCCAGGCAAGGGCATGGCCAGCCAGAGCACACAGGGACGCATAGGCCTGCAGGGAGTGGCACAGGGCCACAGTGCTGCCCTTGGTCCCACACTGGCCATACACACAACTGTAGAAGCTGGCCTGCGGGGGCACCACGTCGTGGCACATGGAGAAGGGCCCTGGAGGAAGACACAAGGTGGGGAGAGCAGAGGGTGAGCCTGGGGAACGAGTAGGACCTGTGTCTTCTGCGGGGCTCACTGGACATTCCTTTCCATCAAAACCTGGGTTTATTGGGAAATACTGGCTAAGACACAGAAGGGGTCTGGTCAGCCTTGGCTCCGAAGGGGGTGATGCTGGCCAGGCCACCTGTGCTTCCAGACTCCAGTGTTTCTGATCTTACTCTGGTTTCTTGCCACCTGTGCTTCCGGACTCCAGTGTTTCTGATCTTACTCTGGTTTCTTGCCTTATAGTCTTCCTCCTCGGTGTCCAGCCCCTGGGGTGGAGAGGAGGGCAAAGGGCCAGCAGGGGGTGTGTCTTACCCTGAGGGTCCACCAAGATGGCACAGCTCTTATTCCAGCTGTCCGACGTGCTGTTATATTGGCAGTTGGAGGATATGCCACCCCTCAGGAAGCAGCTGAATAAAGGGAGGAAAGGACAGACACTCAGGACTGAGAAAATGTCCTCCAAACTGAAGCACATGTGAATGAGAAACAGGAAGAGGCTCAGGAGAAGAGAATTACATGGCACCCTCAAGAAGGCCAAGAGCTACAGCAGGAAGGAATAAGGCAAGCTGGCCAGGAGGACTTCCTAAGAGGAGAAATGGAGCGGTGTCAGGGCAGGCAGGACAGCACAGAGGGAACAGGGATACCCAGGGGACAAAGGCCTCCAGGAGGCCTTCTGAGGTTTTCCCCCAGTATCAGCACCCCTGCCCCCGGCCCCATACTCACCCGGGTTCTGAGTCATCTGAGTGCTTCCAGGAGGCCCCCAGATACACCGAGCTGCCTATGGGCTTCTTATCTGGGCGTAGGTTGTCATCTAGGCTGTTGTTGTTGTAGTTCCCTGAAGGAAGAGGCAGTTAGCGGAGGCAACAGAGGCACAGGCTTACCCCAGCCCAGGCCACCACTTTCCCAACCAGAAGGGGGCCCCCTCACTTTTTGCCCACTCTGCACATCAAAGCTAACCCTTTCTTCCCCATCTCCAGCTTGCGAACACCAGCTGATTTCACCCATGCTCAATGACCCCTTTTACGAGTCCACGTGGGAAGTCCCCCCCAACATCTAGACTTATTCCTTCTTGTGGCCCAGTGTCCTCAAGGGATTTGTCGGTTGACCAACACTCAGGACATCTAATGGAGATGTGTGGGGAGGCCAAGACCTCACTGCAGAGCCCAACCCTGTCCCAGCTTTCCCCTCAGTTTCCCAGGGAGCTCACCACACAGCCCACAGAGCTGGCCAGCATAGGAGGAGGGTACTGTCACCTCCACCAGGTGCTTCCCATCGTAGCGAACCTGAAGCCCAAAGTTCGTGTAGAGCACAATAAAAGAGCCACTGAGCCTAACGATCACCTGGCCTGCCAGAGGCCCCATGGGAAGGGATATCCGAAAGCCATTCACCTGCAGAGGTGGGGGATGCAGTAGAGGAGTCGGGAACTGGGGACTAAGATCAAAGGAAGGCAAAATCTTGGGAGCAGGAAGGAGCGACGGATGTTTCAGGGAGAGAGGAGGGAGTCCAAGGAGGAGGGGGCTGCCTGGTACCCCCAGGGGCTCAGGAGAAGAGGGACCAGCGGGCTGGGTTGGGGAGGGCCTGGGAGGAAGAAGCGGTACTCACCACGACCCTTCGACCTTTAATCAGTGAGATTCTGAGGTTAAAGATCTGCACGTTGACAGACTTGATGTAGGAGAGCTCCAAGTTCCCATCGCGGATCTCGTTGGTGGTGGTGACAAGAAAGTTGTTCTCTCGGGAACTGACCTTGCAAGGGCGGACCATGACGTAGGCACAGGTGCCCATGAAGTTGTGCAGAGCTCCGTCAAAGGTCAAGTAGTGGGGGTCGCCTGAGGCACTGCAGGTGGCCGCCCCTGGGAAGAGATGACAGGGCTTGGAGTCTTGTTGCACCATGCCCAGGAAGCCCTGATCCAGGGCTGCCACCTTGGTGAGCCCACATTGGTATGGTACCTACAGCCCATCCTTGAACTTGGCGTTTCTCTAGGAGATAAAGTTGGCTTGGCTTGGGATGCCAAGGAGGGAGACAACCCTCTCCAACTCCACTCTGAACCTGGGAAGATACTGCTCCTGACCTAGGAAATCCCCTCCCAGCCTGGGATGGTTTCCATCTGGAATATTCCCCAAAGGCCCATGTTACAGACTTGGTCTTTGGCTTGGTGCTCTTGGGAGGTGGTATAAATGTTAAGAGGTGGAGCCTAGTGGGAGGTTTTAGGTCATTGGGGGATGCTCTTGCAGGGGATTTGAGGGACCCTGGTGTCTTCATTTTCTTTTCCTCTTATCCCAGCCCTGAGGGGAGCAGTGCTGTGTTCAGCCACATACTCCCCACCGTGACTAGCTGCCTCACCAAAGGCCCAGAAGCCAATGAGCCAAAGGGTTTTTTTGGCTCACAGTTTGGGAGGTTTATTCTCTAGTCTAGGGACTAAAAAAAAAAAAAAAAAAACCCTTTTTCTTTATAAGTTTATTTATCTCAGGGGTGTATGTTACAGTAATTTCAAGCTAATTCACAGCCTCTGGGGTCCCAGCTCTCTGGGGAAGAAGATTTGGGCAGGATCTTCCCCTTGCTTGAGGCCCCCTGCTCACCTGCTCTCCTGACCTCTCACCTCGGGCACGGCAGCCATAGGTGCCATCTTGCAGCATACAGGCCTCCTGGGCCTTACATTTCCAGGGCTGGCAGTGAATTTTGTTGTTCTTTTCACAGACACAGAACTCCTTGCAGCCTGGTTTGTACCACTGTTCCCCTAGCTGGAGAAAGAAAAGAAAGCAGCTTTTCCCAGGTCTAACACAAGAGCCCACTGCCGCTCCAAGGGCTGGCCTACTCACGGGGCATTCCGTCTTTCAAAAGTTCTATGCTTAGCTGTAAAACTCTGGTGTTGGCTCAGGGATGGAATCGCTTGATCATTTATTTGCTCACTATTTCAGCTGAGCTGTCTGTGTATCGTGGGAGGTGTTAGGAATTCACTAATGAACCAGATGGAAAATGTCTCTGTCCCGACAGAACTCACAGTCCAACAGGGGACAATAAATGTAAGTCAACTCTTGGATACACATCTCCAATGTGCGTCCAAGTGGAACCACCAGGGCACCCAAAGATCACTTCTCACCATGGACACCAGCAATAAGCACCTGATAATGGGAATTCTGAGAGAAGTTTCCTGACTCTGCTTATCAGGAAGGCTTCAAGGAGGAGGGAGCATTTCAACAGGGCCTCAAGGGAGAGGAAGGGTCCCAACAGGCAGAGGCTGAGAAGTAGAGCAGGGTATAAAAGGAACTGGGAAAAGGTCAGAGCATGGCACGGGGTGCAGTTCTGTTGTAGAGTGCCTGCTTCTGCTCACAAAGGGCTGGATTCGATCTTCAGCACCAAGTGCGAGGGGGTGGGTGGCCACAGCAAGAGTTGGACTGGGAGCATTTGGGGGTCCAGCCTGGAGCGGGGCCATGGAGGATGGCCAGGTGAACATCAGATGGCAGAGGGTTATTCTGGAGACTGGTGTCATTGCCAGACCTCTGGTGAGAGCTGGGCACAGAGCCTAGTTCTCAGTGATGCTTCTGAGAAGAGTGAAACAGGTGTGCAGAGAAAGAGACACAGGCCCTTCTGCAGAGTGGGACCCTCCAGAGGAGACAAGATTTGAAAACAGCACAGGTGAGACACAGAACTACTCAGGATTTCAGAGGATGGAAAATCTGGGCAAAATGATCGGTAAAATGACAGCTGAGAGCAGCAGCAGGGATGATGGGAAGGGACAGAAGGAGGGTCTCAGACTCTTAAGAGGTATCATGGGAAAGAGAGGGCCATGATGTCATCCCAGCCTGTGTGGAAAGGACTAGAGGTGAAGAAAGAGAGGAACTTGGAGGGCTCCATGGTGCAGCTCAATGGCAGATCATATTCAAGGTCCTGGGTTTGATCCCCAGCACCACACACACACACACAAAAGGAGATTAGATCAGGGTCAGAATTTCCCAAACCCCAGGCCTAAATCCCCTGCCCTCCTGTGTTCCCCTGCTTTCTCTCTCTGGCCTCTCACCCTGGCCCAGGGAGCAAGTGCCCCCTGGCTCCAGGGCTGAGAGGCCCACCCCAGACACTCACTTTGAAGTAGGTTCCTGAAGCATCAAGGCACCCACACTGGGATGGAGGGACACACTCGAGGCCACTGAGGATGAAGCCCGGGTTACACTCGCAGGCCTCCACACAGTGGTCTGGGCAGGTCTTGTCAGAGAATCCCGAATGGCAGGTGTCCGGGCATGGATCGGCACACAAAGAGTAACTGCTATTGGCTGGACAGATCAGGGCTGTGGAGGGAGAAGCTCAAGTAAGGAGACAGGTGAGACTGAGGCAGAAAAGGGAAGAATGTGCTTGGAAGTCCCCAGCAAGAAAGGCTCCCGCCAATCTTTAGTAGAGAGGCTTTAAAAAGGAGCCCACTGACTCCTAGGGCCTACAGGGCCAGCTGTCTGTGCTAAGATGTGGTCACCTGGATGTTACCTTGGACTTTCATGGAAGCATACTGAGCCACAAAAGAAAAGCCTCATCCGTACTGCTGTGTAGACATGCCCCAGGCCAAGTCCAGGGGCTAGGTCAGCTCTAAAGCACCTTCCCAGAGAGCCCAGCCATCCCTGGAGCTGTAAGGCAGCTTGGTGCCCTTCTAGCTCAGGTCTGCCCATATCAGAGGACCTGGCCAGGCATGTGAACACCCCTGTACTTGCCCTGTGCAGCATCAGTAGTTACAAGGCTACTGTTGAGTTTGCAAGTGACTGTGATTATCTCAGGGATGCTCCCAACTCTGCCCATTTTCCTGACCTCAGGTGAAGTGGGAGGTTCAACGCATCCCAAGCCCATGGGAGTGGCCTCTCTGCATTTGCAGGGAGGCGTCCTCTCCCCGGCTTCCAGTCACAACTCACGGCAAAACTGGGGTTTCCTCCAGGGCTTCACGGCATAGCCAGCGTGCTGGCAGGCCGCAGTCATGAACGAAAGATGGATACAAAGCATGAGATGGAAGCCCTCGAAGTTGCACATGTCATTCATGCAGTTGTCAAAGAAGGAAGAGACTTTCACGTGAAGCTGGCACTCCCTGAGGAAAGAGCCCAGGTTAGAGGGGAGGAGGGAGTGGCATTTCCCAGCCTCCACCTTGGAGAACTTTGGTGCCCAGCAGCCCGCCTGCCCTCCTCCATACTCAAACACTCCTTTGGAGCTGACAAGCTGGCCACAGAACTTGGACCCTGACATAGTGCTCTGCAAGGCTCGCCCACAAGTTGGGGTACGTGTCTCGATACCCTCGCACCTAAAAGAGACCCAGTCAAATGCTAAAGTCCATGGCTCACTTCCAATTGGGGCCCTATGCCATTTGTCAGCAAGGCTGTGCCCAAAGGAGGTGGGAAAATCTGGAGTCTCCAGGGAGAAAAAGAGAGAGGGGTCTCTCTATGTTGCCAAGTTTGGCTTTGAACTCCTGGATCCAAGCAATCCTCCCACCTCCCGAGTAGCTGGGACTACAGGTGTGCGCCATCACACCTGGTTCTGGTTGGTTTTAAAAGGGCCCAAAGTGAGAGAGTGGGGAAGGAGAGCAGCCCATGGGCCCCCAGTGGGGTCTCCTCACTCCTGCTCGGTCTGCCAGCTGTTCCCCAGATCCTCATCGTCTTCAGCTGGCTCACCATCTGGCTTCAGGTTGTCATTGCTGCTGTCCCCGTCAAAGTTTCCACAGAAACCACAGAGTTTGCCTGAGAACACACTGTGGGGCCCAGGAGACGGGGGAGCATGAATGGGGTGAAGGGGCCTCCGTCATTGGAGTGGAGGGGATAATGAGCTGCAGGCCCAGAGGAGAAGGCTCAAAGGGGATAGAGAAGGACCTACTCCTGACATGGGTGGCACACCAGGCACACGAGACCTGGAGCCAGCTGTGTGGTCTCCCTTCAGCCCCAACATCCGGTCATGACTGACCTTACCAGCCCTACACCACTCCGGCTCGCTCTACGTGTGTGGGTCTAAAAAGTCCGTCTTTCCCTTGTCTGTCCATCTGGGGAGCCAAGAAGACAGCCCCAGAGCACGTGAGCAACTCCTCCTCTAGAACATTCCCAAGGCATTGTGTGTACATCCTGCCATTATTCCACTGTGCTGAAACCATTTCCTTCTGTCTCCCCGTCCAAGGGAAGGCCGACCACTTGAGCTAGGTGCTTCCTACCCTTTGGGAGGAACAGAAGTGACTGAGCGCTAGTGCTTGGAATGGAAAAAAGAGGGAGGTGGATGGAGGAGCCCTGGTCAGGAGAAGCCTCAGCTGCCTGGCGGGGATGCTCCCTCACCTGGACATAGTCACAAACAGCTGCTGGTGGCCGTCCCACTTTATAAGCAAACCAAATGCTGTTTTCACTTTCACAAACCGCCCACTTGGACGTATGATGACACCTTTAGAAGGTCTGACTGGGAGGGTGACTCGCTGACCCTTAACCTGGCAGAGGAAGGGGCAGAGAGACTGATCAGGGGGATCAAGAAAGACCCCAAGACTCCCGTATCCACAGCCACAAGGTATAACATCCTTCACGGCATCCTAACAACCTCTTCCACCACAGCGGCTTGGAGTCTCACCATCAGTGCCCACTGGGCTGGGGCTGACCAGGAGCAGGTCTTGGTCACATTTAGCTGCCCCAGCAGGGGTGGATGGGGGATGGGGCTCACCAGTGTTTGTCTGCCCTTGAGCAGGGTGATGGTAGTCTCAGACAGGATCACATGAACCTTGCTCAGGCAGGTCAGTCCTCTGGGTCCCCATTCCTCATTCTTGGCTAAGACTTTGAAGAATGTGTCTGGGTGGGAGAAGGGCTCATTCAGTAAACTTTTCTTTCTTTTTTTTTTTTTTTTTGCAGTGTTGGGGATTTGACCTAGGGCCTCACACATGCTAGGCAAGCAATTCTACTGCTGAGCTACACGCCAGCTCAGTAATACTATCTCAAGTGTGTGCCATGGATCGAAGCCTGGCACTGTGGGTAAAACACAGGCCCTGCAGTTTAGGAGAGGAGGCAGGACACAAGCAGGAGGGGGTGGATGTCTACCCTCCTCCAGAACAGCCTGCACCGCTGCATCTCCCCTTGTGTGTAGTGACACCCTCCAGGCTATCTGTGCACCTTCACTAGTCTCTTTAACAGTGATTGCTACTGTGTCACATGGGCCCTCAATAAGAGCTGGCTGAGGACACAACTGATATCTCAGACTGCATTTTCCCCAGAAGTCTGAGCCCTAGACTCCTGGCTCTGGAGGGGGAGGGGATGGTTTCCACCCTCACCTTAAGAGGACCTTGCTCCAGGATGGCCTCTTCCTTTCCTCTGCTCCCAGCCCTGTCCTGTCCCTCCTCTGTTCCCTGTCCTGCTGGCCACCACTGTGCCCCTCAGAGCCCCCTCCTCTGACCTCAGGCCCTCAGGACCTACTTGAGGAGTTTCGGCAGGGCTGAGTCAAGACATAGGTGCATTTGCCTGAGAAGTTGATGTGCCTCTCATCAAAGGTGACATAATGAGGGTCACCATAGACCATGCAGGTGGAAGTGCCTACAGAGGGGAGAAAGGAGGACCCAGGAAGCTGCTTCCACTGCCCAGCCAGGCTGGATCCCATACCCCAAGTCTCCCAGCTGGTGACACACCCCTGCTCCTCTGCTCCAAAGACAGCTTGGGATCTTGGTGTCATACTCCTTTCGAGAGCATGCAAGGAGGTACTCACCATAGGGGTGGCATCCATACTCGCCATCCTTCAGCTGGCACACTGTGTGTGATCCACACTCAGAGATATGGCACTCCATACGGCTGCCAGCAAGGCATTGGCAACGTTCTGTGCAGTTGGGGCTGAACCATTCTTGCCCAAACTGGGAGCAAGGGATCTAGAGTTACAGAGCCATAGTTCTTGAGGCCTCCACCTTCTCCTCTACCTTACCCAGGGAAGAGGGTGCTGCCCAATGTGCACACCTAAACTTGTTTGCACTCCCTTTTCCAACCACAGGACATTTGCATGTACTATTCTCCCATCCTAGAAGGCTCTTCCTTTCCCATCTTTCTCCTCCTTCTCCATCTTGTGTGTGTGTGTGTGTGTTTGTGGTGTGTGTGTGTGTGTGTGTGTGTGTGTGTAGCACTGGGGATTGAACTCAGGGGTGCTTAACCATTGAACTATATCCCCAGCCCTTTTATTTTTTATTTTGAGATAGGGGCCTGCTAAGTTGCTGAGACTGGATTGAACTTGTGATCCTCCCAGCCTCCCAAGTGGCTGGAATTACAGGCATGGACCACTGTGTCGACCCTCCCTTTCTAATTCATTCTTCTACAACCAATAGAGTTCAGCTCAAGGACAGCTTTCTCAGAAAGACTGCCCAGACCCCCTAACAAGGTCATCCTCACATCTCTGGGGACCTTCCTTCCAAGGACTTCCCACAGTTGCACTTTTAGATTTCTTTTATGATTGATTATAAGTGTCCCAAGCAGGGATTATGTCTGTCGTCACACACCATCTTGACCCCAACATGTCACAATAGAAACTCTTGTTCAATCAGTACTTGCTGAGCCAGGCATGGTGGTGTATGCCTATGATCCCAGAAGCTCAGGAGGCTGAGACTGGAGGAGATCACAAGTTCAAAGCCTGCCTCAGCAACTTAGGAAGGCCCTAAGCAATGTAGTGAGACCCTGACTCAAAATAAAAAAACGAACAAAAAAGGCTGGAGATGTAGCTCAGTGGGAAAGTGCCCATGGGTTAAATCTCCAGTACCAATAAATAAATAAATAAATAATTGCTGAGCAGAAGAGTCAACCAAGGCCCAATGTGTGCCCCTCTAAATCTGAGAGCATTAGAAGGACAAGGAGCTGCTGGGTGCAGTGGTGCATGTCTATAATCCCAGCGGCTCGGTAGGCTGCGACAGGAGTATCACGAATCCAAAGCCAGCCTTAGCATGCTGAGGCTTGCTAAGCAACTCAGTGAGACCCTGTCTTTAAATAAAATACAAAATAGAACTGGAGGTGCGGCTCACTGGTTGAGTGCCCCCAAGTTTAATCTCTAGTACCAATAAAAAAAAAAAAAAAAGAAGACAGCCAAGGAGCTTGCCACGTTCATGGTGACTCCATACCAGGTGGGTAGAAAGTACTAAATAATGGACATTTGCTGAATGCTTCTATGCCATCCCAGGACAGTGAAGAGACCCTTGATACTGATAGTCACAACGATCCTTCTGCCCAGGCTGTTGCTGAACCTAGACCTATCACCCATTTAGGGAGCCCCAGGAGACTGGTTAAAGGGGGCACAGGAGGAAGCAGTCCCTGAAGAGGGAAGTAGGAGCTCTGACGCCAAAGGGCAGAACACCTGCAGCTGAGGGGCAGCACCAGGTACTAATGAATAGCTTAATGCACTTAATTAATAGGCTGCATATGATATTTATCATAAATTGTTATAATAATAATGAACATTTACTAAGTAATTTGCATGTGTCAGGATATAATTGCATCCTTACAACAATCCTATTTTGCACACTTTTATAGATATGGAAACAGGTTTAAAGAGGTAAAGAAATTTGCCCAAGGTCACTCAGTGAATGAACCCAGCCTGGGCACAAGCTCTGCTTGGCCTGGCTCTAGACCTGCCCCGTCACTCAGGCCACCAGGCACATGCTACTAAGCTCTGGATATATGGCCAGTCCACACTGACATATGCTATAGGTGTAACATATACACTGGATTTTGAAGATTTAGCATGAGGAAAAAAAAAACTAAAATTAACCATCTCATCAATTAGTCTCTTTTTTACCCTCAGTGTGGGAGTCAACATCAGGGTCTTGCACATGAAAGCATGTGCCCTACCATTAAGCCACACCCAGCCCTAGTAACTCTTTATTGATTAAACACTGAAATGATAATATTTGAAATTGAGTACAGTAAGCCCTCCATAGCTAGAGATTCACCTGCAGATTCAACTAGCAGAGGATGAAAGGTAATTTTTTTTAAAACATTGCATCTGTACTGAACATGTACCTTCTAGCAACTACTAAAACAATACTATTCACATAGCATTTATACTGCATCAGGTATTATAAATAACCCAGAGATGATTCAAACAGTCCAGGAGGATCTGTATACGTTGGTAAATGCTATGCCATTTATATAAGGCACTTGACTTGGGCAGATTTTGGGATTTTGGAGGATTGTTCTGGAACAAATCTCTCCTGGATTCCAAGGGAAGACTATAGATTATTGAAATGAATTTTACCAATTTCCTTGTGTGTTTTTTTTTTATTTATTTAAAAAAATGTTTCCTTGTGCTTTTTTTCCTCCCAGTGGTGCTGGGGCTCAAATCCAGGGCCTTGTGTGTGCTGCCTCAGAGCTCTACCATCAGCCTCATCCCTTCCGCTTTCTTATCATGGCTATTAGGCAACCTAACATGACCCCCACGCCACTCCTACCAAACAGCTCTGGCCCACAGCCTGTTCCCTCTGGAGCTGTGCTCTATCCAATCTCCCCAGCAGACCATCAATTCAGGGAGGCAAAGAGAGTTAGCGACTTCTGTCTTTTGAGCTTACCAAGATTTCAGGATTTGCAAGTTTCTTTGGCAGAAGAGAATTCTAGAAATCTCTCCACATATTTTGGTTGTTGCTGGTTCGGTGCTGGGGATGGAGCCAGGGACCATGAGTGACTAGCTCATCAGCACAGATTAGCATCACGGTGTGCCAAAAGAGGCGCGTACCCCAGATATATGGTATGAACAGAGAGAATCATCAAAACACCACAGGCTGAGGGATGGGGGTAAAGGTCAGTGGTGAAGCATCTGCGTCGCTTGAGCAAGGCCCTGAGTTTGATCACCAGCACCACAAAACCAAAACAACAAGAACAAAACCCATGCTGAATGGAGGACTCTGTCACTGTGAAGCCACAGCTTTGAGCTTACCCCTGGGGATGATCCAAGTTCATCTCATCCCAGTGCACAAATGCAGTGAGGACCCAGGTGTTCCGCCATCAGTCTCCCTCAGGGGAACCAGCATCCCTGTGGACTTACCTTATAGTAGCTTTTGCCGTAGACACAATCACAGGAAGAGGCATTGATGCATTTGTTGTCATTAAACAAAAAACCAGGATTGCAGACACAGCCTGGCTGGCAGAGTATATTGCAGTTGGGTTTGGGGTTCTTGCAGGATGCAGGGCAGGCACAGGATTCATAGTGGGAATTTGGGGAGCACTTCACTAAAGGCAAAACATGATCTCATCAAACCTTCACTCTGGAGCTGTTCCCAGGGCCTTCCTGTCTCTCCCTCATCCCCAAACTCAAGTTCTCCTCTAAGAAGTAGGCCCATATTGTCCCTCCATCAAAAGGAATATGTAGCCCAACATGGATGGACCTGATGACATCGTACTCAGCAACAAAAGACAGATACAAAGGCTCACATAGGATTCCATTTGTCTGAAATGTCCAGGTCACGCAAATCCATGGTTACAGAAAGGAGATCAGTGTCATCAGGGACTGGGAAGAAGCAAGGAGGAGCTTATGGGGTTTCTTTCTGGGATTAAAAAAAAAAATGTCAATAAAGATGGAATACTGGGGGCTGGGGTTGTGGCTCAGTGGTACAGCGCTTGCCAGCACGTGTGAGGCCCTGGGTTGGATCCTCAGCACCACATAAAGAATAAACAAATGGGGCTGGGGTTGTGGCTCAGTGGTAGAGCGCTTGCCTCGCAAGTGTGAGGCCCTGGGATCAATCTTCAGCATCACATAAATAAATAATAAAAATAAAGATATTGTGTCCACCTACAACTAAAAAATATATTTAAAAAAAGAATAAATAAATGAAATAAAGGTATTATTTCCATTGCAACCAAAAAATTTTTAAAAGAAAGAATGGAATATTGGTTGCATAAGCTTATGAATATATGTTCCAACCATTAAATTAGAGACTTTAAAAGGGTGGGGGGCTGCGGATGCAGCTCAGTAGTAGGGCATATGCTTGGCATGTATGAAGCCCTAGGTTTGATTTCCAGCACCCAAAAAACTGCAGTGAGGACCCAGGTGTGTGGGTGGGGTGGGAAGGTGAGTTATATGGTATATGAACTCTCTCCATAAAACATAAGGAGGATAGGAAGAAAGCCTGGAGCTCATGCCCACCTGCCTCCACCCACTCCTGCCCCATGTCCCTCCAGCTCTGGGCAGTATTCTTCCAAAGTTGTCATCTTTGGAGGGACGGGACTGGGCCATCTTCCCATAAGAAGGCTGACTTCCCACTGGAAGAATTCCTCTCCCCGACTCTGTCCTACTCGCTGTCTCTTACTTTCAGCTCTTTGGCCCAGTTCTGTCCCCATATACCTTTGGTAGTTTTGGGGGTGGTGGTGGTGGTAGTGGTGGTGATGGTGGTCATAGAGGTGGTGGTGGTAGTCAGGGAAGTGGTGCTCTTGTGAAAGTGTAGAGGCTTCACCAAGACTGTTGGCCCAGTGGGCAGGTCCGATGTACTAGGACAGGATTCTTCAGTACAAGCTGAGGGCTTTTCTGTGGTTTCAGTGAGTTCCTCCACCGGGGTGGGGGTCTCCTCAGTGGCTTCGGGAAGTTCCTCTACGGTGGTCTCCTCCGTGGCTTCAGTGGGTTCCTCTGTGGTGGTGGTGGTGGTCTCCGGGGTGGTTTTGATGGGCTCCTCTGTGGTGGTAGTAGTGGTGGTGGTGGTGGTAGTGGTGGTGGTGGTGGTGATGGTGGTGGTCGTCGTCGTCGTCTTCGGGGTGGTCTCAGTGGGTTCCTCTGTGGTGGTGGTAGTGGTCTCCGGGGTGGTTTCGATGGGTTCCTCTGTGGTAGTGATCTCCTCAGTGGTTTCAGCGGGTTCCTCTGTGGCCGAGGTGGTCTCCTCAAATTCAGTGGGTTCCTCCGTGGTGGTGGTGATCTCCTCGGTGATATCAGTGACTTTCTCTGTGGGGGTGGTTATCTCGATGGTGATGACAAAGGGTCTCATGGTGGAGGCAGTGAAGGTAGTGGAGGTAGTGGAGGTGGTAGAGGTGGTGGAGGTGGTGGAGGTGGTGGAGGTGGTAGGGGTAGTGGGGATAGTGGAGGTAGTGGGGATAGTAGGGGTAGTGGGGGTAGTAGGAGTAGTGAGGGTAGTGGTAGTAGAGGGGGTAGTGGTGGTAGTGGGGGTAGTGGTAGTAGTGGGGGTAGTGGGGGTAGCGGTAGTAGTGGGGGTAGTGGTAGTAGTGGGGGTAGTGGTTTCCTCAGTGGTTTCAGTGGGTTTCTCTGTGGTAGTGGTGGGTGCTTCTGTGGAGACACTGGTTTCAAATGATTCAGTTTGTGAACCTGGAGATGCAGTAGAAAGCCCTGCTGCTGTTGTGTCTACAAAGAAAAACAAATCCTTGGGATTCAGTCAAAATCATATCACCCACTTTTCACTCACAGCCAGCCGGAGTTGGTGGGCTCAAAGGACCCACCTCTCTTTCCATTCCCAACCCACAACTTCACTCACTTAACAAACACTCAACAAACAGCACTCCCCACATACACCTGCTTTGTGTCAGGTATGGGAAACACAAAAATGACGAGGAGGGGAAAGACCTGTCGAGTCTACAGGTCTTGCCTATAGGATCACTAGGGAAAGCGTTCTGGATGCTGCTCCAGAGATTCATGGCATCAAAGACACCTTCGCTCAAGCAAGCATCCTGGCAGTACAGGGACAGTAGAGGTGGGAAGGACATAAAAACCCACATCCGCTATGTGAGTCCTAGGCACAAGAGGACTTGCATTTTACACAGCTCCTATAGAGGAGCCAGGGTGATCATGCCAGGGCCTAGCACCCTTCCTAGAGCCCAGGGTTTTGTCTTACCTCGACAAGAACCTTGACTGATCAAGATGAAACCCACAGCAACAATAAAAGCGGGGTTGCTACCCCGGATGGCCTCAAAAATCAGCTGAAGAGAGAAATGAAAAGACTCCATGGCAACTCAACAACTCTGCCAGGTGTGTCCACTACCTGTTGGCACCCCAACGGTCCAACCTACCCAGGGCCTTGAATCCTTCATTCATCTCTTCTCTGCTCCCTTTCCACCTTCTCAGTCCCCCACCTAGCCCTGAACCCCCTCACCACAGGCCATGCAGACACATACGGGGCCCACTCTCCATCTCTCACCTGCATGGGCTGCCGGTGTCCTGAAGAGATGGTGGTAGAAGCACTGAGCCAGCTAGGGCTCTGGGGCCCAACACGGTTCCACAGAGAAGAAGGGGAACTTCCAGCAGGGCTGCTCAGCAGGAGAATGAGTGTACTGCCCTCTCCAGGGCCATTCATGTGGTAAGAAAATTCCACGCAGATATCCCCGGAGGCACAGAAGGGCCGGCTGGTCAGTTTGACAGACTGCCCTGCTTTGGAGACCTTGTCCACCTCAAAGTAGATAAAATGATCCCCTGGGAAAAAGAGGGGAGCCAGCAAGATGAGACACCCGCACAACAGCAAGTCTATTTGCTATTTCTGGCTTTCTAAGTGGGCATCTGAGCAAGTAACCAAACACCTCACATGATGGCATTGTTTCCTACTGACTTTGGATTTCTAACTGGAGAATATGGGGGAAAAAAACAAAACCTGCAACCTAGACACCATAAATGTACCCATCAATGCCTCAGCTGAGATATGAGATTGTCAATTTTGAAGGCTTAGACTTAATGAAGTGGGAGGACTCATTTTCTTAGGGAATTGCAGTAATCCTACAGCCATGAGAACCCTTAACTGTGTCTACTATCATCTCTTCAGCTCTGGACCCATAACAGTTTCCCAATAAACACTGCTGGCTCCTCTTCACCACCTCCAATGTCCTCCATCAATTGCAGATTCAGCAATTCACTGAGTTGAGAGGTCCTCAATCTCCTCACCTTGATAAGAGAACTCACCCACAAGGCCTGTGATGTTGTTGAGAATAGTTCTACTTCCCCAGGACCACTGTCCGCCACTTTCTGGTTTATGGGTCCAGTCACAGAAGGGATGGGCTCTGTCTTCAAAGTTGCACTGAGGAAAGCTGTCTAGTAGGTCCAGAGGGAGGTTTGAGAAACTGGGGCAGTGCTCTCCATTGCTGTCCCTACCATCCCCAACTCCAGGGGGCCTCCCAGAGCCCTGCTCTCACCCCCACAGGGAGCAAGGCTGACTGCATCCACTGCTACCGCTGGCTCTGGGATCCTTCCAAACACACCCACCAGGGCAAACTGGAGAGAGAGAGAATGGGCCTGGAGTAAGTACACAGGACAAACCCTCAGCCCTCCAAAGCCCAATCTGATCCTTCTTTTGGGAGTGGGTGGGTACCAGGGATTGAACTCAGGGGCACTCGACCACTGAGCCACATCCCCAGCCCTATTTTGAATTTCATTTAGAGACAGGGTCTCACTGAGTTGCTCAGCACATGGCTTTTGTTGAGGCTGGCTTTGAACTTGAGATCCTCCTGCCCCAGCCTCCCCAGCCTCTGGGATTACAGGCTTGTGCCACCAAACTTGGCTCCGGATCTGACCTTATTCCATTCAGAGACCCAGGGCCTCTGCTCCTGGTGCCTTGGGAGTACCTACCATGTGCAAAGATCTGACCCCATGATCCTCTGTACCTGTATCTGTCCCTGTCCTGTATAATTGAGAGAAGTAGACTGCCAGTTGGGTCCAGGTTGTCCTGAAAAAAGAGTGTGTTTCCGGATGCTGCCTACAATGGAAAAATTGGTGAGAGAAGTGAGCTTAGAGGAGCTGAGGAATGACTTCAAACCTATACCCAGAAGGGTGAGTTGCAGAAGAAATATTTAAGCACGCTGCCCCAAATGTAAACAAGTCTTCTCTCTCCCTCTCTATGTATCCATTTTTCTAGAATCCAGTGTCCTCATTTCCACTTCATGGAAAATCTCCCACATATCTTAGATTTCCCTAGACCCTGAGACATTCCTCCTCCCTTCCCGCTTATTTCCCCATCAACCCAACCATGGGAGATGCTAGTGGAAATACAATGCATCCTCCACCCTCCCACCCCCCCACCCCCACCCCTACCCGGCTAACCCAAGGTGGAAGCGTAGACCAGGAGGGCTGCTCCAGGAGACCGGTTCCGCAGGATATAGTAGAAAGAAAGGGTCAGACAGCCATTGGAGCGGCTCGGGGGACTCAGGAGGGAAGATTTCTGCCCCGGCCTTGCATTTTTGGGGTCCAGGAGCATGTAGAGGCCATCTATGAAAGAAAAGTCCTATAAAGTAGGGTGGCTGGAATTGAAGGGGGTATTACGCAGGGGTAGGACCCCACCTGAGATGGGGACCTGGTCCTAGGGAACCCCAACAGCCACCTAGAATCAGGCAGCGCTGAGGTGGGCGTACCCCAAGTCACGACTGGCTGAGGCCTTCCACCCTCCCTCCAGTGCTTGGACTAGATAAGGACGAGGGCGCCGCCCTAGGAAACACGAGCATCCTCTCAGAAGCAGCCTCCGAAATCTAGTGCTTCGGATGCTGACCCCTCAGAGCCCTCTTTTTACACAGCCATTCGCACAAATTGTTAGAAGGGCCAGACCGACGCACGAGGGCACGCAGGTCCCCCGCCCCGCACCCGCTCCCTCAGGCAGCCAATCAGCCTGAACTTCGCTCCGTGACGTAACGAGTAGCCGGGAGAGGGACGGGGCTGCGGACGTGCCGACCGCGCATGCGTCCGTTCAGGTGCCGGCCTCTCTCTGCGTACCCCTAGGTGAGCGCGGGCAGAGAAGGAGGCTAAAATAAGGGAACAAGCCAGAGAGGGACAGCAGAGAAGAGAATGGAAACAATTGGAAGGAAAGGGATGGGAAAACTGAGTGAGAGAGCGAGGAGACGTGAGAAATGGAAGAGAAGAAAGAGACGCCCGTCATCCATCCCAGCGGCTCAGGAAGACGAGGCGAGAGGATCCCAAGTTCAAAGGCAGCCTCAGCAATGTAGCGAGGTCCTAAGCAACTTGGACCCTGCCTTAATGTGGCTCAGGTGGAAGGAAGCAAGGAAGGAGGGAGGATGGGAGGGAGGGAAGGAAGGAAGAAATTTATATATCTATATATGTGATAGACAAAACTAAAAAATAGAGAAACTAAAAGAAAAACAGCGTTTGCTGAAACTGCTAGGCATGGGACACGATGCTGAGAGATGCAAAGGCGAGCTGGCAGAAAGGAAGGGACGAGAGGCCTGAGAAGAAACAAGAAGTGGACTCTCAGAAAGGAAATGAGGGCCCGTGAGCTCTGTTGGACCTACAAAGCTGGGCCCTGAAGGCTTGGAAATGTGGGCTGTGTGGAGAAGATTGAGAGAGGAGATGAGAAGGGAGAGAGAGGGAAGGAGTGAACAGCAGGAAGAGGAAGGAAAACCCCAGGCAAGAGAACAGAGAGATGGTGGGAAAAGAAGCATGATGTAGCATTTGGTGGAAAAACAGGAAGACTGTATTGCCTGGATTCCTGCTAAATAAAACCCCCTAAATATCCTCCAAAGGCTACTCTTGCGGGTTCTCTTCAGTGGCTCCTTTTTTTTTTTTTTAATTCAATCCTTTCTTTTGCTTTTTAAAATACTTTTTATTGTAGATAGACATAATACCTTTATTTTACTTTTATGTGGTACTGAGGATCAAACCCAGTGCCTCCCACGTGCTAGGCAGGTGCTCGACCACTGAGCTTCAGTCTCGGCCCTTCAGTGGCTTCTTAACAAAATGGTAGAGCATTTGTCTAGAGTGTGAGAGGTCCTGGGTTCCACCCCCAGCACTACAAAAATAAATCAGATCAAGTCACACCGCTTCCAAATTCTGCAAAGCCCCCCTCCCATTCACACAAAATAAATGCCATAGTCCTGACAATGGCCTTCAAGGCTCCATATGATTTGCCTTTCCTATCATCTGAGCTAAGACTCTTCATTCTAGATCCATGGCTATACTTCAAATCCCTTCTTCCCCCTTGGCCTGGGATACCTCAGGGCCTTTGCATGGCAGGCTTCTCTGTCTGGAATGTTTTTCCACACTCCTAATATTTTCATGCTTCATTCCCTCAACTCAAGTGTGTTCAGCTGTGATCTGAAGGAGACCTATCCGGGTCACTCCAGTTAAAATTCACAACTTTCCTACCCCTGCACTTCCACAATCCCTTTCCCTTATTCAACTGATTTTTCCCAACGCACTTGTCACACCAAAACTTTGTTGTTTACTGTAATTTCCTTCTTTGTTTTGATATCTGTCTCCCTGTTCCTCACCAACACCACTCCCTGTCTGTTTTGCATACTGATTATCAAAAGCCTAAGACACTGCTGGGCATGTTGTAGGTGCTCAGTAAATATCAAATGAAGGAAGGAAGGAAGGAAAGATGCCAAGAAAGGAGGTAAGGAGCAGGCTGTGTTGGGTCCACCAGGTGGAGCTAGTGGGAAAGCTGGGGGTGCTCAGAGCATGCTTCTTGAAACCTGAGCTGAAAAAGGCTTGAATCTGTTCTGGTTCACCTACACAGACCCATGGCAGCTATTGTAGGGCGTGCAGAGGTCACTAGAGCCTGGAAAGCCCCGAGGATAAAAGCATGGCCAGTACTCACTCCCAGGACTGGAGAAATCATCATTAGGTCCCACGTCTGCCTGCCCCGATGACCCTTTCTTCTGTGTCCACTTGGCCCCAGAGGAAGATGGGATCCAGCTCCAGCCACAGAGATCATTCATAGTGTCAAAACTGCACATTTGCATCATGCATACTGAAGGCAGAGAAAGGGGACAATGTAGCTTTTTCTGAAAGGAGAAGGAGGCAGCTCTGATAGGGATGTAGTCTGGAGCCAGAAAATTCTTGAGTTCCAATCTCAGATCTATGATGAGCCGTGGCTGGCTTTCCAGCCAGAATTGGCCCCTTGCCTATGGGCCGCGTTCCTGACACAGGTAACTTGACCTGCCCAAGCCTCAGTTTTCTCATCTATAAACTGGGAATGACAGTGCCCCTCTGCTTCCTAGGGTCGTCAGATCATGAGCATGGGGCGTTTAGTCCAGTCCCTTTGCTTAATGAGTGTTGATTCCTTTCGCCCAGCTTCTGGAATTTTCCTTTCCTTGAATTTTCTCCCTTCCAGTCTCTAGGGTCAGTTTAGAAAGATCCATCTAATACTAGATGGATTGTGGTGGTAATGTCCAGGTTTTCTTGGAAGGGAGGGCTTTCTGAGATGCAGGACTTTCAGTGCTGAGACAGGGACAGCCCAGGGAAAGCCAGGCTGGTTGGTCACTCTAGACAAGGTATCCCCACAACTGCATGTTGGAAGAGCACCTTCCTTGGGGTATGGCTTCTTCAGGAATCAGAGGTGTGGGGTGAGGTAGCAGAAGGAAGCCAGTAGTCTTGACTCATGAGAAACCTGGGTGCTGAGCCAAAATAGATTTGCAGGAGCCAGGAAAAGAGAAGCATGTGAGAGGGAGGGAGAGGGACTCACCCCTATTGCAGGTTCCCCGATGGATAGCGAGGGCATCCAGGGAGATGTCCAAGTAGGGAGTGTTGCCCCTCATCCCCTCAAACGTCAGCTGCAGGATGGGAGACAAGGGAATCCCTGATTCTGTGAGGCCCCTGGCCAGGCCTCCTGTCCCTTTGCCTTTAGCTCCTGATTTTCCTGAATTCAGATGGCAGGGACCACACACCCCCTCCTTGCCCCAGCCCTCTGGGTCCTCCAATACCCCTGGCATCCCCTCCCCCCCCCACACAGATGGCCCTGGGGCTCTTCCCTCGGCCTTACCCAGCTGGGCAGGTTGAGTCCTGCGGGCACAGTGACGGAGGTAGGTATCCAGGAAAGGCTCTGGGTATTTGTGTGTTTCCAGAGCAATTTGGGGCGATTGTTCTGTTTGCCCATGAATAGCAGCAGTCGGAGCCAGGAGCCCCATGACAGCCCGAACATGTGGTAGGCGAAGCGAACACAGAACGGGCCTTGCTCCCATATGTCAGGGCTGCGCAGGCGGGCCACTCCACCCTGACGGAAGTTGTTGGAATCCATGTGCAGATAGTAGCCCTCTGGGGAGGCAGAGCCCAGGATGCTGGAGCCTTTGGTCCCCAACACTGCCCTCCCACCCCTGCTCAGAGCCCAGGTGTGCCTGAGGCTTCAGCAGCACCCCCTCCCTTCATACACCTTGGCCTGTGCCCAGCTCCCTGCTGACCCCTGCCATCTGCCCTCCCTAAACCTGAGGCTTCCCACAGGCCCCTCACCTCCATTAGGGTACCCCCCAGGGGGCCCAGTGGTGCCAGATGGGGAGGGACCACTGGCTCGGATCCAGTCCCCATCATCGGTGAACTCTTGGGACCAGTCACAGAGGGGTTTGGAATTATCGTCAAAATCACACTGGGAGATAATGGCTGGAAAGAAAGGGCTCCTGTGAGGTTCAGAGAGGGCAGAGGGCAGAGGGCAGGGGCCAAGACCACAGACCCACCCTGGAAGATGGAGGTCAGCAGGGTCACTAAATTTAGAGAAGGCTGTCACTAAGATTGGGGGATCCAAAGCAGAGATTTGGGAGACAGATCTTTGGGGAGAAATTCAGGGCTGGGGAATGGAATGGGCCAGACAACAAGGTTGTCATCATAGGACTGAGATTGGAACTCAAGAATTCGGACTCCAGACTGCACCCCTTTCCTGAGCTGCCTCCCTTCAGAAAAAGCTCCATTGTCCCCTCCTTTCTCTGCCTCATAAACATGAGGCTCTGCCCCACTGTTCCCTCTGCCCTCTGTGGTCCAAGGGCCACCCTTTGCACATTGGTCCTATGTTTATGCCACCACTCTGCCCCAAGGATAACTAAAGGTGGCCACCCTGGGCTAGGGATTAGCATTCAGTCCTAGGGAGGGAGAGGAGGCCTGAGTCATCCGGGTTCCAACTCACATTTCTCCCTTGGGTTGAAAGCAGCAGGTTTCAAATCCTGGGGCTTCTGTGTCCTTGGGATTGGTTTGGAAAAAGCAAAAATATCACTCTTGTTATTCCGGAGAATTAGAAGACTCTGATTGAGAGTTCTCTGAGCAGTCATGGACAGATGATTTTTTTTCTCTTTTTTACCCTGAGTATGTCAGCGTTCACACAGTCAGCGTGCATTGTCTTCTTCAGGATTTCAGGAAGGTCACCTTCAGCCTCTTCCCCTAAAGTTCTTCCCACTCTCCTAAAAAGCAGGCCTCCTCTACCTCCTCCCATCTCAGACCAGGTTTCCTGGGCGTGGGAATTCTCATGCAGTGTCTGGGTTTCATACTGGGGTCTCCTTCCTTTGGGTTGAGGTCTTTTTTTTTTTTTTTAGATAGCCCAAGTTTTTGCCCAGAGAGTAGAGATGTGTGGACCCCAGGTTGCTAGTGGGTAGTGGGTGATATCTTGCCAGCTACACCCGACTGAACATATTAATGGATGTTTATAAAAAAGATGTTCCCTGGTCCTTCCTCCTCATCTCACCAATTCCACAGAGAAGGCTCTTGCCCACATAGAACAGCCCTTTCTTTTCTTTGTTCAAGTTCAGCCCACTTCCCCACCCCCACCACAAGCTCCAGGACACTACATCATCCTTTTTTTTTTTCTTTTTCTTTTTGGTACTAGGGATTGAATCCAGGGGTGCTTAAACACTGAGCCACATCTCCATCCCTTTTTATTTATTTTTTTTTTATTTTGAGATAGGATCTTGCTAAATTGCTTAGGATCTCACTAAGTTGCAGAGGCTGGCTTTGAATTTAGAATCCTCCTGCCCCAGCCTCCCTATCTGCTTATTTACAGGTGTGTGCCACCTCGCCCGGCAACATCCATCATTTCTTAGATGCCTACTATTTGAAGTCTCACTTATCAGTTGGGCCTACTGTGAGCTTTGTCTGTTTTCCAAGGGTCTGACCTGCCTCTCCTCCTCTCCCAGCCTCAGTCTGTCTCCTTAGCTCTGTACCCTCCTTCATTTCTCCCCAATTCCAGGCTCTGGGGCTGAAGGATCAGTGCTCTACTGTTTGTAAGGTAACTTCTCCCCAGCCCATCAGGCTCCCTGCCTTCCTCCCAGGCCTCTGCCACCCCTTGGTACATCACCCACCTCTGAGCCCAGCTTACCAGATAGGGGCGGGCAAGGGAGCCTGGCCCCAGGCAGCCCCCACAAGCAGCACCAGAGTCCAAACTGTAGGAGCCATGAGGGACCTCAGAGGCGGCCCTCAGGGGAAAGGGAAAGGGTACAGTGAGGAGACCAGGCCACTCTTCCACTCCCCTGGCCCTGAAAACCAATCAATCCGAAAACAAGAGAAAGCCCTGAGAACCGAAAGCTCTCAGCTGAAATTGAAAACCCAATGGCAGAGTGATAAATCAAAATCAAGGGAAAGAAGAAAGAGAGAAGACAGACTTGGAGGGTGAATCTGGGAAGTCTATCATCCAATAAAAATAGTTCAAAGAGAACAAAGGAAGAGAAATTATTTTTAAAAACGGAAAAAACACCAAGACAATGTCCCGTCAGTGAAATACTCAAGTCCCTAGATTAAAAGGTGCCTAAGTAAGATGAATACAGAGACTCGGGGAGGTACATTGTGAAATTTCAGAGTATGGGGTGAAGGGAAGATCCAAAGCACTTTCAGCTAGAAAAGAACAGGTCACAGAATAAGGATCAGGAATCAGCATGGCATCGGGGCTTTTCAGTAGCAACCACGGATTCTAAAAGGCGGTTGGTTGAACATTGTCTGCAGAATTCCACAGAAGATCATTTGAAACCTAAAATTCTATAACTGGCATCAGTGGCGAAGGCCCCCAGAGGGTCCTGTAAAGGGAGAATGGAGAATGGCTGTGGGCAAAGAATCGAAGAAGATAATCACAGAAGAAATACAAACAGCCAACAGATATTTGAAAAGATGTCCTGCTTCACAACCAGTAAGGGAAATGGTGAACAAAACTACCAACTGTGAAAAGGCCTGCTTCTGTTGTGGGAATAGGGGCAGGCTGGAGAGTTAAAAACCTACCACTGTCATACTGATAAAAATTTTAAAAATGGATAGTGTAGAGTATTGGACAGGGTGCAGGCAGACACAGGCAAAATATGGTGATGAGAAGCCCAGGTGTCAGTGGGCTAGGTTGGGTAGCTCAGTGAGAAGAGCATTTATTTGCCCAACATGTTCAAGACCTTGGGTTTGATCCCCACACTGCAAGAAAACAAACAAATGTGTATGTTGGTGAAAACTTCTTAGATGATAGTTTGACAATGACTATTAAACTTTAAAAATGTGCCTAACTTGGTTTGTGGGTTGTTTTTGTTTGTTGTTTGGTACCAGGGATTGAACCCAGGTGCACTTAACCACTGAGCCACATCCACAGCCCTTTAAAAATTTTGTTTTTATTTTTATTTTTTGGTCCCCGAGGATTGAACTCAGGTGTACTCAACCACTGAGTCACATCCCAGCCTTATTTTGTATTTTATTTAGAGACAGGATCTCACTGAGTTGCTTAGCGCCTTGCCATTGCTGAGGCTGGCTTTGAACTCACAATCCTCCTGCCTCAGCCTCCTGAGCTGCTGGGATTACAGGCATGCACAGCCACATCCAGCTTGTTTATTGTTTTTGAGGCAGGGTCTTGCTATATTGTCCAGGTTGTAACAAACTTCTGGGTTCAAGTGATCCTCCTGCCTCAGCCGCCTGAGTAGATGGGCCTACAGGTGTGTGAAGATATGCTCTTTAAAATGTGTGCATATCTTTGACCCAACATTCCCATTTTAGGAATCTTCCCACAGAAGCACATGTACATTTGTGCAAACACGTACATACCTTAAAGATATTAACTGCAGCATTGTTTACAACGAGAAAAAAATATCATTAAGATGACTTCAGTGTTTATCAGTAGATATGTGACTGGTTCATATTAAGACATTATAATGCAGGTATTAAAAGGAAAGGTGGGGCTGGGGTTGTGGCTCAGTGGTAAAGTGCTTGTCTCTCATGCATGAGGCACTGGGTTCGATATTAAGCACCATATAAATGTAAAAATAAAAATATTAAAAAAGGGAAGGTGTTCCTCAAAATATTGATATATGATAAAGAAATTCTTCTAGATATATAGTCAAAGAAACTGAAAGCAGAATCTGTAACAGATGTTTGCACATGTGTGTTTTTAGCAACATTAATTATAATAGCCAAAAGGTGGAAAGAATACAAGGGATCCGACAATAGATAAATGAATAAATTAAATGTGGTGTATACACACACACACACACACTCAAACATAATTAGCCTTAAAAAGAAAAGGTAGAGGGGCTGGGGATGTGGCTCAAGCGGTAGCACACTCGCCTGGCATGTGCACAGCGCTGGGTTTGATCTTCAGCACCACATACAAATAAAGATGTTGTGTCCGCCGAAAAGTAAAAAAATAAATATTAAAAAATTCTCTCTCTCTCTCTCTCTCTCTCTCTCTCTCCCTCTCTCTCCCCCCCCCAAAAAAAAAAAGAAGAAGGAAAGGTAGAGCCAGGTGCAGTGGGGCACACCTATAGTCCCAGCGACTCTGGAGGCTGAGACAGGAGTATCTCAGTATCTCAAGTTCAAAGCCAGCCTCAGCAACTTGGTGAGGGCCTAACAACTTAGCAAGACCCTTTCTCAAAATAAAAAATTAAAAGGAAAAAAGGGCTGGGAATGAGGCTCAGTGGTTAAGCACCCCTGGGTATCAGGTACCCAAAAATAAATTAAAATGTGGACTAGGATGTGGCTCAGGGTATGATAGAGTCCTTGCTAGGCCTGGATTCCATCCCCAGAGCTGAAAATCAACTAATTAATTAACAAATTAATTAATTAATTCTGACACATGTTTTATATATATAACATTGAGGACACTATGCTTATGAAATAAGGCAGCCCCCAAAGGCTAAACACTTACATGAGGTACCGAGAGTAGCCATATACATAGATATAGAAAATAGAATAACGGTTTCCAGGAACTGGAGTGTGGGGGGGAATTGTCGTTTGATGCATAGAGATGGGTTTTGCAAGATGAAAAATGACAGTGGTGGCCGCAGAACAATGTGAATGTCCTTAATACCATGCGACTGGTTAAGGTGCTAAATTTTATGTCATGTGTGTTTTGCCAAAATTCATAAATAATTTTTAAGAAACATCGCTTCATAATATTACTTGATAATATGATACTGTTTATTCAAGTCTATTCCTGACTTAAAAAAAAGGAACATTAGCAAATCCATAGAGCCCTAAGGTATAAAGAGCACTTGGATGTGTTATTAAATGTAAGAGGAGAGTCACAGAAAAAAAAATGTATGGAATAACCTCACGTAAAATCCCAAATCATTGTGTGGGCCTGTGTGTGTGTGTGTTTATATACATGCACAGTCATGCCCGATGCAAGGATCCTTCAAACAATGATGGATAGCATATAGAATGGTGATCCTATAAGGTTATCACAGACCTGAGAAATTCCTGTCACCAGGAATGGTGTAGCCATGGTAACGTCCTAATGCTTAACATAACACATTACCACACATTACCGTGATGCTGCTATAAATCTGCTCTGCAGTCATCAAAGTATAGTTGCTGGGATCACAGGTTTGAGTCACCACGCCCAGCTTGTAACTCCTGCTTATTAAAACAAAAAACAAAAAGTTTCCCATTAAGAGTGTGCTGTGATGCCAGGGCCCACCTTCTACATCCTCTTTTCCATATCCCTGATTGCATCAAGAGGCCACATTGAGTGACCCATCTTGTGTAAATACACTTGGCAATGTTCCCACAGGAATTTGCCAAATGACGCAGGTCTCAGGACATGATTTGTTGTAAGTGCTGCTCGGCTGTAGGTAGGTAGAGGTGTAGAGGTGGGACCCAAAGTTCACACACGGAGCCACTGACAGTGGTCACCTCTAGGGAGGGGCTGGTGGATTTCCCACACCATGCCCACTCTTAGGCATTATGGGAGTCTCCATAGGAAGAATGTCTCCATCCACTCCCATATAACAGATTTAGGACATTATGAGAGACCTCCGTGAGAGCCATTTGAGGGGCCAGACTGGAAGGTTTGGATGGTGGGGGTGGAAGTTGAGGAGATTTCCTTGGGAGACCAGGGACACGTTTTGGAGCTGGTTGGAAAGGAGAAGTAACTGGGGAGCAAGTGTAGAAATGGGGACAAAGTGAGGACCTCTCAAGGCAGGAGTGATTGAAGCTTATGAGATGAGTCCAACAGCCAGAGAGGAGAAAAGGGTTTCTGAGAAAGTGCATGGAAGAGTCCAGAAATCAGAGCAAAAGGAACAAGAGGGCTCTTAATTTTTTTTTTTTCGTACCAGGTATTGAACCCAGGAACACTTAACTACATCCCCAGCCCTTTTTAATTTTTTTTTTTAATTTTGAGACAGGCAATTGCTTATTGCCTCACCAAGTTGTTGAGGGGGGCTTTGAACTTGAGATCCTCCTGCCTCAGCCTCCAGAGCCTCTGTGATTACAGGCATGTGCCACCTCATTCTACTGACAGAGGGCTCTTAACAGGAGTGGGGAGGGCTGGGCCAGGCAAGCCATGATGCACATTTAGCCGCTTCTGTTTTATCTGTGAAATAGGAAGAGGGTAGAGCAATCTCCACAGGCACAAAGGCCACAGTCCTGGCCGTCACATCCACTGGACTTCTCTCTGCCCTCCATTAGCCTGGTCCCCCCGGGTAGGCAGACAGACATATGAACAAGCAATTATCACACAGTGCTTTGGCAGGGAGCCGTGGAAGGAACACATGACCCCAGTAGCTGGTAACAGGAAGGAAAGAAAACTAGTTAGGGTCAACTTTCCATAGTAGATGACAACCGAGGGGCTTTCTAAAGGACAAAGAGATGGTCATGGGGCAAAGAAGTGCATGACATTTTTGGAGAATGGCAAGAATAATCTGGGGGAAGGGGGTTGTGTGTGTGCGCACAGTGTACAAGCAGGACCGGGAGAAGGCTGTGCCCTGTCTGGAGGACCTTGAGCGCCATAGCTTTGAGGAGCAGTGAGCTCACTTGATTCCACCTGCATTTTCAAATGGCGGCCCCGGCAGGCAGCAGGATGGATCAGAGGGGCTGGCGGAGGAGGGGGAGTTGTGCAGATGGCTGCTAACAATCAAGGGTCAAGTTCAGGGAGTGGATCAAGAGCTTTCCAGGAGCCAGAAACAGCAGTTCTTTCGGAGTGACCTAACCCAAAC